TATATATATATATATATATATATATATATATATATATTCGTGTAGTTATTAATGAAGGGGAGTATCTAATTCTTGCGAAGTGCCTAAGTTTGTGATCAAAAATATTGTTTTAAGAAAGTTAACTTAATAAATTAACATCTTATTAAATATCTTCTTAAAGTCTTTTTATTAACATCTACTGACTGTTCAGATGGAACTGTGGTTGCTATAATTCTATATATAATGTAGGGACAATATATGTATTACTAAGAATTTTCCGTAGTAGTAAAACAACCATTGAGTTTAAAAACGCATAAATTTTTTAAGTTTTTCCAGCTTATAAACATCACTACATGATTGTTTGATAATTTTTGTGTTACAATAGTCAAAAAAAGTTTTTAATCAATTTCATGAATCTGAAAATCGAGTAATAAAGCATAAATTGTACATGCATAAAAAACCTTCCCTGTTATGATACTCGTTACTGTTAAATTTCTATATCTTTATTCTATTGTTGATGAATTGGGTAAAACTTTGAATTGAATGCTTTTTTACCACAATTTTAATTTACATATATATGTATTTTTTTTTATCTCAGGTGGCTTTTATAGTGAAGTGATTAAGCCTGGTCTTCGTTTGATTAGTTTGAATACAATTCTGTGGTATTTTCCAAACAACTATACAGTTGAAATCGAAGACCCTGCAAATCAGTTTAGTTGGCTCAAAAAAGTTTTAAATGAAAGTTCACAGCTGTCTGAAAAGGTGAAATATTTCATAGTTCAGGATTATTATATTTATTTTGTAGCTTTTATACTTTTCTTCAAAGTATTTTTAGATAAATTTCAGCATATTTTTCTAGCTGATATAGTATGTTAAAAAATATAAATAAATAATAAAAGAACCCCGGAATAATTTATGATTAAAGGGTCATATTTTTACATTTTAAGATGCAGATTCAAAGTTTGAACATGATAAGTCAAAAAGTTTCTTAGTAAGAAAACTTACGTTATATTTTTACTTTTATTCCTCAAGAATTATTTGACTGTTTTGTACTTATTTTGATTTGTGTTATTTTAAAAAAAATTTAGTCCTTAATAAATTAAATAATATTTAAATAATGAATGTTTATAGCAACTTTTCTTTGTTTCAAGTTGTCTTCCACAAACAGGTTTTTTTAAATTTTTTTTTTATACATTACCGGAATCGCCAAATCGAAAAAATTTTAAGATCAGAAAATGTAAAAATTTAACTATATAGGTTAGAATAAAGGGTCACAATAACATCGACAAGTAATAATGAATACACAAAAAGTAAAACCAAAAGTTTTCCCTTTATTATGGTTTACATTTTGACCATGCACATGTGTATTGTCAATGCATTTTTAAGACTAAGATTGAAATGAGATAATTTCTTATTTTGCTGTGTTTTATTTCTTTCAATGCTTGGTTGATTAAAAAAAAGAAATATAGTCCAAATTTTGTGCTTGATTGAAACAAAACAACATTAATTACTTAAATGTCATATTTTTATTTAATTTGGTTTTCAATTTTGAAAAGATATCTCAGCTATCTATCAGACATCTAAAGTAAAGTAGATACTTTTTCAGCACCGAAATAAACCATTTTTACTATTTTTTTGTTAAAACTGTTACTTTATTTTGTATTTTATTTTAATTGTTTTTATTTAAATTTTTTATCATATGTGTAAGTGCTTCAGTTCTGTTCAATTTTCAATGCATATTTTGAAAAATGCTTTTGTTTCAGTTCACTATTTGAACTACAGCCACTAATATTATTATGAGTAATATATTATAGTTTAATTTCATAGGTCTATATAATTGGACATGTTTCTCCTGGATTTTACAGTAGAGGTCAACCTGGAAAGAAGTCAGATCCTACTTATCACTTGCATTTCCTAGAGAAATATTTAGATATTTTGCATCAGTATGCAGAAATTATTATTGGTCAAATGTATGGCCATTTTCACTTGGACTTTTTTCAGCTTTTTCAGTTTAATACAGGTAAATCAATTTAATACAGGCATAATTTATTTTATTGTAAGAAAAAAAATTTTAAACCTGTGATGAATTTGAGAATTTTCTACATTTAATTTTTTACACAATTTTTCAATATTTTATACTACGTCCAACTATTACTATTATACTATTCCAATATAAATATTGATCAAGATTTTTGTAATGTAGAACTGCCAGTTTATAATTTTTTTTACAACAAAATATAGAACATTCAGTTTATAAATGAACTTTTCAAATTTATAGCAGGTTAGCATTATAACTTTGATTTAAGAAAAACACATACTCTGTATAAAGGCAGTTCTGAAAATATTGTTTTTTATTTTTATAAATTTATGGAAAAAAAGGCAATAAAATCTTTAGTTCCCTATGCTATTATGCTAGTAATAGCAGAAATTGCTGATGGTAAATTAAAGTATGAATTATTTTTTTTCAAAATATGTAAAAAATGTTAACATTAAAGAATAATTTCATTTATATAAAAAATTGAAAAAAGAACTTTTTTTGTTAATAAATTTTTATTTTTTTTAATGTATTGTACACAGTTTATCTATTAATTCCATTCACTTACTTAATGGTAGTAGAGAAACACAAAAAAGTCAAAAGAATGCCTGCATTTTTAAAATAAGTTTTTAAAAAAATATCGAATTAAATTTTACATCAGTGTGGCAAGTGCTGTGCTCAACTACGCCAACTGTGAGAATCGTCTGCGAACCTGCTCCCTATAGAAATATTTGGCTAAATTAGTCCTGGTCTTTGCAAAAATAAACAGTCTTCTCACAAAAAATGCATATATTATGTTTTTCAAAGAATTTCAATGCTATGAATTTTTTTGATTACCTGACCCAAAACAATAGCTGATTTCTCTTATGAAAATGCAACCAACTACAAATGCAGTAAAGATTTAGAAAATAGGCACATTGCAAGTTCCTCTGGTTAAACACCTTTTCATTTCTATTCAATCAGCTTTTATACTTATTTCTCAGAGTTATTGCTATACTGCATCAAATATCTAAAAATTGAAAAATGGAACAATAAGGAATGACAGTTGCCCAACTGCTAGATGATCAACTGTGATTTTTGTCTTCCTTGACATACATCAATGAAAGAAAGAATTAAGTTTGTGCTTAAAAATCATTAAAGAACCTTGGTACTTACAGTTTAACAGCATGCAATTAATAAATAGTTCTTTTTAATGAAATTTTTAAAAAAATTGTTCTGAAAAAAAATCTCTTGTTCTAGAACTTATGTAAGGAACAGAACTTATACATTTTATTTGCATGAAGTTACTGTGGCGTAACCACCACTACGATTATTAAACATAAATTCTCTAGTATATAAGACATGTTAACCCTAATGAATGTTGGCATTGTAATTATTGCAATTGGAATGTTGGCAAGATAACACTATCTCCACATTGGTAACATGCAGACATGCCTGCCTTTAAAGAAACTTCCACTTCAATATGAACATGCCACTTCAATGGATGGTCTCCATTGAACAATTAATTTTCTATTTGTGACTGCGACATTATCCACCTACTCACGAGCTACTCAGTCTCAATAACACACCGTCAGGACTGGACTGCTAATGGCAACACAGGAGTGACCACAACCGTGAACTTAATATAGCTCTCACCACCAGTACTAAAAAATCGGGTGAACTTAATACAGCTCTCACCTCCAGCACTAAAAAATCGGGTGAACTTAATACAGGTCTCCCCGTATCTGTTTGTCGAATTCTATTGTGGCGTAACTACCACTATGATTATTAAACATATTCACTAGTATATAAGGCATGTTAACTCGATTCTATCCTGATGTACCCTTAGATGCATGAAAGTTGTCGTTGTCGATAACAACGCTTTAACAGTTACTATACATCAATTTTGGAAGGAAAAAAAAATACAATTTAGTTCATTATATTAGAATGTAGCTAAAGAAAAAATTATATTCTTTATGTTTTTATCTTTTAGGCAATTTTCCTTCTATCTCACAATTTTTATTCCTCAAATTTATTTTTGGAATTTGATTTTTATCAGATTTATTTAATTTTTGAAAATCAAATTGAGAATCTTTAACTCATTTATCATGAATATTGAAATGATAAAATTGCATTTTCTTGTGACAGGTGTTTATTTCAAATTTTTTAAGCCTAAAAAAAATCAAGGATTTGATATTTTAAAAATTGATTTAATGGAATGTATATTAAAAACTAGATAGCAAAAAATTTCTTCAGTTTTTCAATTTCAGTACTTTTGCCGAAATGAAATATTACATTTTTTGTGTGTCTGTTTTTTTTTTAATTTTATTTAAAATGAAGAATTTTTCTTGTCTTGATGCTTTTTTATAATAGTTAAAATTAAATTTATGTAATTTCGCTTTAATATATATATATTATTTCATCAACAGGTT